CCACCTCAAGCTGTGAGAAGAGGTGGTTAATAATTATATTATTATTACATTATTATTATTATTATTATTATCATCATCATCATCATCATCATTATCATCATAATCATCATCTATTTTATAAAACTATATACCTGAGGTAACAAACATTTCTCAGGCAGAAAGGGGTTGCAAGCATGAAAAGTTTTAAAAGTTCATATATGCTGACACTGTTCCCATTATTTGAGTTGACATATGTTGTCACTATTCCCATATGAATATAGAAAACTGTTCCAATTAATTAATTCACATTCTGGCAGAGGGAAAAGTTTTAATGATAATATAACAACCTTGCTATATCTACTGCATTACAAATGCAGAAGCATGTTGATGCAAAATGATGATATACTGTAATTATAGTATTTAGCGATGTTGTGCTAAGTATTATAGCATTTTGGAATGGTATAGAAAGCTAGTAAAAGTACAAAGGTCTACAGAGGAGAGTGGCCTGCAGCTTATTTATAGAATACAGTCACATTAGCCTTAAATTGTACAATATTATTTTGCAATATTGCAATGGAGTTCAAGCTAGGACAGCAGTGGCTACCAGTTAGTTTAAAAAGGCATACTACAGACGTTTTACAGAACTGTCAAAACAGAAATATTTTCTATAGGCTATTCATACAAGGTATTTTTCAGAGAAAAAATAGACTGTTTAGATCTGTTATAAAAACAAATTATTTCAACACGAATAATTTTTTGAAATGTATTATTTACATTGTACGCACTGCTTAAAAGCAAATAAATATAAACATTTAAACACCACACAAAAAGTGAGAATTACAGGTTTGCCAAAAGGATTTTGAACGTTTTATGGTTCAGTAGGCTATATGGAGTGGGGAAACTGACCTTGTTCATGATTTTATGGTAAAATAGATCCAAATGCACTAGTGATCATGCTGTTAATATAAGGTGGTGCATGGTTTGCAGGACCATTCTTTTTTAAATTATTTCCTCAATCATGTCCAAAAACATTCTTGGATCAACTAACTTAGAAAAATTGATGTTTACTTTTAGATTAAAAAGCATATTATTTTACTGACACAAAAGCACAGTATGTCACAGCAAACGAGATCTATATGCTGGATTTTGTATCAAAAAATCACAAGTCAAACAATTCCCAAGCGTCTAGGACTGTGTGATGTATTTTCGAATGATGAGTGCATATTATTATTATTATTATTATTATTATTATTATTATTACTTATTTATATCCCACTTTCTCCAAATAATGGGACCCAAGGTTAACTATTTATCAAAATAATACAAGTTAAAAATAATACAAATATGTTGCTGCTACCAAACCACAATAGAGATTTCTGGACAATACTGTTGTCACATGGTAAGAAAAGTAATTTTCAAAGTTTGCTTCAGTTTTTTTGTTCTAAAATTGTTGCTGCTGATGGTAGTGCAGTGCAATAAGTGATGATGGGAAAATGTGCAATGACAATTGGAACGGCTTTTTGACTATGATTTTGGATTGTGGTTTTTTTAATAATGTGTTTTAATTTTATATGATTTTTAAATTCACGTTTCAATGTATATATTTATTTTAAGTCTGTTGTGTATACGACATCAAATTGTTGCCTTTGTAAGGCCGCTCTGAGTCCCCTTTGGAATTGACAAGGGCGGGGTATAAATACTGTAAATAAATAAATAAGTGCATGGTTTATAACGTAAATAGAATGATCTTTACCTTCACACATATCTTTTTAAAACAAAAAGGACATATTATTACTCTATTTTTATCTTTAAAATATGTATAAGCCATTTCAAAGAAGACAAACCACAAAGCATGTTTATTTTTAAATCTGCATTACAGAACTTGTCACACCATATCTCAAAAAAAAACACCAACAACAAAGAAATAATCCCAAATAAAACTGCAAATAGGTCTAACACACACACATAAACACACAAGCTATACAGAAGCACAAAGATTAGTGTTTATTGGCCTTAACGAATTTAATGTTCACTCATATTAGGGAAATTATTTAAACATTCAAGATTTAGGTTGCTGGAATAACTGCAGATTTCAAAAATATGTCAATATATAGCTTAAAGCTTTGTTTAAGAAAAAATGTATCTTCTATTCCAAGCTTCAAAGTACCTTCCAACCGTGGTTTCCTTACCAATATTTCCAAGCAAGAAAAAACATGCTCGGAAATACGCTGATGCTCCCTAAATAAATTTATTCCATCTTATATACATTTACATATTCATTTACCTAGCAGTAAGTTACACCGAGAGCCAGCATGATATAGTCATGTGAGTGGTGCATTGGCTTTATTTTAGAGTAGAACCATAAAGAATTTCACTGTAAGTCTCAAAATCCATCTACATAGAATCATAGAACAGGAAGAGACCTCGTGGGCCATCTAGTCCAACGCTCTGTCAAAAAGCATTCAAAGCACTCTCAATAGATGGCCATCCATGAAGTTGGGTTTATTCCCAAGTATCATTCATAGTATCAACTATAACAAGTAAAAACCCAAAATTGCTAAACAAGTTTTTAAAAAGCATTCAGTCCAAATGCCATGTATATTTGATAATATACTGTACATACATATAACATCCAGTTTTTGATTGTATCATTCACATCTGAGCCATCATTTAAATTAGTTAAATTTAATTATTTTAATTTATAAAAAGATCCTTACTGTGGGCCTCTTGAAATACCTGATGATTGTTAAGTGCAAGGGAGGCAACTGTTATGTAATCTAGAACAGGGCTTCATAAACTTTTTTCCACTCGTGACCCCTTTTTGGGTATATAGGTATATAAAACAGGTATATAAATCAAATATTTATTAATAATAAATCAGCATTTACAAGGCTTGCTAAACAGGCTGACTTTCCTTTTTGTGTACAGCTGAAGCATTTTCTGCAGAGTCCACTGTAAAAACTGCATGTTGTTCCTAACAGATTTGAGTAAATCAGTGGGTGGCAATCAGAAACCTTTTACTGTTTTTGTGATACCAACATCGAGCTAATGGGGTCCCATTTGGCACCCGGACCCACATTTTAGGAAGCAGTGTTAAAAAGCTGGTAACTAGTGGTTCAGTTTGTGAAAACTAGTTCATCCAAACCTGCCATTAAAAACTATGAAGTACAGTAGAGTTTCGCTTATCCAATCTTCGCTCATCAAGCGCTTTGTATTATCCAACACAGTCTGTCTTCCGCCCAGATCCACAGCTGTTTCAATACATTGCGATGTTTTGGTGCTAAATTCATAAATACAGTAATTACTACAGAACGTTACCATGTACTGAAAACTGTTTTTTCTGTCGATTTGTTGGAAAACATTATGTTTTGGTGATTAATTTGTGAAATCATAACGTAATTTGACGTTTAATAGGCTTTTCTTTAATCCCTCCTTATTATCCAACATTTTCGCTTATCCAACGTTCTGCCAGCCTGTTTCTGTTGGATAAGCGAGACTCTACTGCACCAGGAGTAATAGGGACAAAGATTAGATAATTTGTCAAAGATGTTTCTAAGTTCGTTCTAAACACAAATGGGCAAATAAAAAATACCACAGTAAAGTATTTCTATTCTTTCACCAACGTACCCAGTGGCACAATGGGTTCAACCCTTGTGCCGGCAGAACTGCTGACCGACAGGTTGGCGGTTCGAATCCGGGGAGCAGGGGTAAGCTCCTGTCTCTGTTCTAGCTTCCCATGCGGAACATGAGAGAAGCGTCCCACAGGATGGTGAAACATCAAACATCCGGGTGTCCCCTGGGCAACATCCTTGCAGACAGCCAATTCTCTCACACCAGAAGCGGCTTGAAGTTTCTCAAATCACTCCTGACATTTTAAAAAAAAACCTACACAATATAATTTAATTCAACTTGAGGCTTAAATTTTAGACAGATTCACTTTTTAATGATGGGTGTGAATATAATTAAGTAGCCTTTGGTAGATAATTGCATTCTAGCCCATTTTAAGAGGCCATATAAACATACACATCAATCTGTCCAGGCAGGACAAATGAACCAGATTTGCATTTACTTTCAAAGAGAGCATTCCAATTACTTGATACTTGCTTGCCAAAATCTGCTTACAGTAAGCGCTGTTTTTTGTTCTTTTTTCTATAATATACTAAGTATATAATTATTTGGCATTAATTTTAATATTAAACTCTTTCTATTCTATATCCTCCCGCTCTCCATTATAAAAATGTAGATGTTACCATATGTATATGACAAGTTTTGTACGAAACAGAAAAGGTTGACATATAATTGCACTTAATAAAGCTGCCATCTAGCCTTGGGAGCACGTAACCTAGACAGACATGATTTAAGGTTTGCAAAAGAATCCCCAGACTAACACTTTGGTGACAGCCAATTACAGACCCAAAACACAGCCTCAGTAAGCTGTCTGCTAGTAGGACTTGAGGAAAGGTAAAGTTTCTTACAATGAGTTACAGATTCACAAGCAGAGGAAGAGAAGAAAAAGAAAAACAGAAGGAATCCAGCAAATCTGAAGCAGACCCCAAGATCATGATAGAGCCCAAAGATGTAAATTACTGTAAATCATCACTGTTGTTCAGAATTTCACACAGACATTTGTGCCAATTCTGGCATGCTTCTCCACAGACACAATTGGGATGGGGGGGGGGGTAGAAAGAAGAGAAAAAGAGGCAGGGAGAGTATAAACGAAGTTCTGCTGTCCATATGCTTAAACAGCACAGGGGTTTAGGCTGTTTCAGCATTTTGTATGCCCTCCAAATCCTCATGAGTCATAAAATTTAAAAAGCTATATCCTTCTGGATACCAGGAAGGACCTTACCACGGGCCTTTTGTCAGACTTTCAAAAGGGGGAGGAAAGAAAAAGCCACAGTGCTGGGCAGTCCCACTTTACTTGACTACTATGATGTCACCAACCACATGATTCTGTCTCTCCAGTAACAGTGCTTGCAAAAAAAGGGATTTTTAAAGCTTTTGCTTTTTTGGATTGTGTGAATGCTTCATTTGCCTCACAAACAACCACAGAACCACAAGTGCGGTGCAAACTTTCTCCAAAAGGACACAGCGAGAAGCCTTTGGTTTTTAAATGGTTAATCTCAACAGGTCACCAGCAGCCACTGAGACCAACAGAGTCAGTAAGTACTCTCAAACCACAGTCTATTCAGTAATAGTAGATCTGTCTAATATTTGCTTATCCCCCCCTCCTTTTTTGGAATTGTTTTGTTCCTTTGCTTTCTGTAGCATGTTACCCATCCTGCAGAATTTTTTGACACAGAAGAGAAATATATGCACCCTGGGTATGCTGTAAAAACTAAAATCAAGCTTGGCTATGGTTTGTGATTTCAGTTTAAGGCTTCAGACAGTTTTTGCACCAGAAGATAATCGCATACTGTGTGGCAGAGGGGAGAGCGATGGCATCAAACAGTCTCTTCGGCTCAGTGACACCTTGTCAACAAAACTTCTTCTGGGGTAAGTGACTGTATTTCCAAATGCTATGAAATATTGCTGATACCAATGAACTATGCATTACCTATTTCTGTTTAAACTGATACTGTTGAACATAGTGAAAGTAGAACTGTGTATAACATCGTTGTTGTTTTTAAATACCCAGAATAGTACTATTTTACTATGTCTACAATTCCTTGAGCTACAGGTGTGCTCTTCATTATGCAATTCTCTGAATAATCAGGCACCTATATGGAAAACCTATGACTGACTGCTGAAGTCAGCGTTACAAATATAGAGTTACAATGTGGGCCATCAATATTAAACCAACTGAATGAAGGCCCATCAGCTTTTTCGTTTATTAAGATTTATCAAAATAGGTATATCCCACGATATATCAACAAACTTCAGAGCGACAGAATTCTTCAAATTTGTATCATCACATTGCAATCAAGTCATGTAGAAGACAAAATAGACGGATCAACGTAGATCCCGATATTTTGTTATAATAAGAAGGCCCCATGCTCCACTGCGAACAATGCATTAACACAGAGAAACTATCCTCCTGTGTCTTACACCTTTCCATGTAAATAGATGTGACTAATTTCAGAATAATTTATGCTAAAGATCACAGTTGTTGGCAAATTTGTGTACCTAACCTGAGTTATAATGTATCAATTCCTGTTCTCTATGTTATAACTGTATTTACAAATATACTAAAAGTTAAAGGAAACACATTACGCTCTTCTGAAAAGATTAACATACATACGGAGATCTTTTTTTGCAAAACAGAATGATGCAGATGGATGTGATACCTCCAATGTTGCAAATGTTTTTGAAACCTTTGCCAATGCTTCTTTTAAAACAGACGGCTTATAATATCATCCTAGGATAAGACGTAAACTCAGCAAAGGCACTGAATGAATGCAGCCCACGAGGAAAGTTCCCAAGCTGTAAAGCAGCACCTCTAACAAGCCTTTGATCTTGGCCATCTAGGATCTGTTTTTGAAATTATGTCAGTAACATATATTAATACCACATGAAATAAAAGACTGCCAAATTTTGTTTAAGAATACATAATACGGCTAGGAGTTTTATACAGCAGGCAGCAGTGCTGAGATCTTTAGCTTCTAAAGATACAGTTGTCTAAACCCCAAAGGATTTTTGCCCAGCAGCCAGAGAGGTGTTTTTCCTTCCTTGGAAATACTACAAACATATTTTCAAAAATGTCTAAACAAGATCAACACAGAGACAGAGGGGAAAAAATCAAAACACTTACAATATTCCTTTAACGTTGTCCATCTGGTTCAAAATTATACCGAGGCTGTAAGCTAATAAATTTTCCTTTTTCTTTTAAGGGGGGGGGGGGGCAACGGGGACCTGATTGATGCTTGAAATGCTTTCAGTGCAGGCACCCACCTTGTCTTCTCTCTCTAGCTGATGGCCGGAGTTCCTTTTACCCCTCCTACTTCACACGTTTCAACTGGCTCTTGTCGAAACATATGAATCTAGTGCAATCTGCGAGCACAATTAGATATGAAGCAAGGCTTGTACTCATGGAACAGAGGGGCCTGTGTAATTTCTGATATCCAAAGACATTTGAATGCATTATATAGACCTCTGCCTCAAAGCTGACTTTCTGAAAGTTTGTCACACTGAGCTACACCGTAATTAGGCAACCAGCATGCCAAAATGTGGCACAGAAGGCCAAGGCTTTTTAGAATAGCAAGCATTTTTTTCAACCCAAACATCTACTTTAATGAAGCACAGCATAAAGGTAGCCAGACCACATTATTCCAGCGTTTATAACAGGAAGAACAGTTTACACGTACAGGGACTTTCTTTAACATCCAAAAAGAAATAACAAGAAGTTTAGCTGACAAAAATTATATGTTTAATTTTTCTCCTTTGGGTCATTCTTTAAATCACCAGAAAATGTCTAGGCCACGGAAAAATCATCCTTCCAAATCTACCACGTTGAAATAAGACTGGCCAAGGAAATGGCCAAACAATAATAAATTTTCAGGGCAAAATATTAATAGCTCTTTACAATTTTGTGGTGGCAATATTTAGTTAAAGGTTAAAGCTGTTTGTTGTTGTTTGGTAGCTGTCTCAAAAGAGTAATATTAAGTCATTTACAGCTAGTATATGTCCATGAAAAGTTCTGATTCATGCCAATGAGAATGCATCAGTTGCTTTACTGTTCCATTCAGCAATCTCTTCTAATCAGCAATGTCTTCCTTATCGGCCAAATTATCACCTGTCCATTAGAAATGGACCATTATTGTTGGCTAGTAAATAAGCTAGTAATTTCCACCATTTAGATCCAAGAGAGATTTAGGTAATCTTTTTTAAAAATCCGCATGTACTTATGGCAGCAAGTGTATTTTATATCATTTATTTGTAACTCATATTATAAATGAATGCAAATTCAGTATCTGAGGCCTTCATCTAGATTAGTTATAATTTAGCCGGTTAATTTATTGTGCACGTAAAAGCAGCAATAGCACATTTACTCTAAACATACTAAAAAATATAGAAGAGGAGTTAATTTAAATGAAGAAGCCCACTATGTGCTCTTGTTCTGCCCCTATTCCTTTCAATGGACCTAGTGATGAAGATCAGGCTAGACTGAGGGCCCTTCCACACAGCTATATAACCCAGAATATCAAGGCAGAAAAATCCCACAATATTTGCTTTGAACTGGGATATCTGTGTCCACACTGCCATATATTCCAGTTCAAAGCAGATACTGTGGGATTTTATTCAGCTGTGTGGAAGAGGCCAGAGCCCATACTTTACTCCTGATCTTCCAAATGTCACACAAGGTTAAAAAAAATGCATGGATGAGATGACCAAGTCGTTCCTCTGTTTCATCTTCTTCATCTCTTGCTACTTTTAACAGAAATTGTCCAACATACCAATTGAAAAGATAGCTCGCATTTCTGGGAATCCAAATATTATGGTACATTACCTAACAATGATTAGGTACCATGATTAGACAAGTCAAAATAAATCACACAATTGTTTTTTTAGATGGTGTCATGTATTGATGCACTCAATATGCTTTCCCAAATATATAAACATATGTTCTGTGAGTTATATGAGTCACTTGTGTTATTTACTCCTTTGAGAAGAGTCACAGAGCACTTAAGTAAGTACATTGCTATATTTGTATCAGAAGTTTCAGGTGCAAAATCACCTGGTAAAATATATTGTAGCACTTTAAAATTGTGATAAGAGGAGAACATATTGAACACTTCCAATCAGAACCAAGTCTCTTTCTGCCATAATGCTTTTACTTCACATCTTCTGAATCCACAGTCATCTCAAACACTGTATAGGCAATGAATGAATGGGTCTGCATATTGATCCCCTAAGTAATAATATTCCTCTTATTATTCAAATACCACAATCTTATGAAAATTTGCCTAAAAAGAAAACACTTTCTAGTTAGTTGACAAGAGCACTAAATATTTGACAGTTAAACACACAAGTAAGTGAAAAAAGCAAATTCATTGGAGAAGCTAAGATTTTATCAGGCATACAGGATTAATCTTTATTGAATAGCACCATTCACAAATCAAAACTTACTCGACTTCAGTACATTCAAACAGCGCTAATCAATTACAACCCTTTTCTAGTGATTCAAAATCCATGTGCTTTTAATTTTATACTCTGGTGGTCTAAACTATAGGAACGAAGCTGAGCTTAGTCAGTCCGCATAGAAACTTTTCCTTTTTTTCCAATAAATATTCATCTAAACGTTTTCTTAGAGAAAGCTACTCATATGAAATCTGTGGTAACATTTTTATACTGTACCTCCTTGTTGAAGTAAAGGTTAGGGGTTATCAAAATACCTCAACTGTATATACAAAAAATGAGAGGAAAAGTTAAGTATTCACACACAAAAATCCAAGGGAACTATATTATTTATTTTTGCATTTCCTATGATTAATGGTGCACCAGTGCATACTTGAAAAGTGAAGTCAAAGAAGGGGTAACACCTCAAATTCTTTTATAAACTGGGCAAATGTCAAATCTGGTAGGCTGCCTTAACTAGCCTACCAGAAATATGAAATGGCCCTGCCACCCTATTTTAATAACACTACCAAAAACCCTCACATGTGCTATAATTTGTTCAGAGGTGGTCTTAGAATTGATTTGCTTCAGAATACTTTAAATCAGTATTCTTCAATATTTAAAATTGCAGCATACAAAGGCTCAATGTCATTTAGAATTCCCCCGTCAGCAACATCTAAAAAATAATAAAACGCATACATGGTAAATAACATTTAATGCTTTAAAGGCTCCAGAAAGGAAGCAAAAATTATCTTAGGTTCTGCAGGTTGAAAAGAATGACAGGGAGAGAAAATTTAACCCACAGAGCAGACTCAAAGTTAAGAAGAGAAAGCACACCTAAACTTTTGAAAGAACATTTTTTGCCAGAACTGCAATTCAACAGTGAAACAAACTGCCTTAAGAGGCTGGTGGGCTGTCAGTTTTTGGAAGTCTTAAAACAGAGCTTGGATGGCCATCTGTCAGGAATGCTTGGTTATTATGTAGTCCTGCATGACAGAATGGGTATGGACTTGTGGTTCCTTTTGAACTCTAAGATGCCTATAATTTTAAGTTCACCACGCACAATCTAAAGCATCTATATCTGGCATTTTTCCTTAATAGATGGCAAAAGTGGGGGAACGCAATCTGTTCGGATAATAGAAAAGGAGAACAGAAACTGTTCAAATCCAGTTCTTGCAGGTTCTAAGCATCTTAGGATACTTCCACACAGCTGAATAAAAACCCACATTTTTTGCTTTAGCCTGGAATATATGGCAGTGTGGACTCAGATATCCCAGTTCAAAGCAGATATTGTGGGATTTTCTGCCTTGATATTCTGGGTTATATGGCTGTGTGGAAGCCCTTAAAGGGTTTTTATTTTCTGTTAAAGAACAGAATACAGAAACATGGGAATACAGCCTTCCGAGAGCCATCCAGAAAATTCTTACTTGGGCATTGCAGGT